GTGTCCAGAATTCCTAGGGAGAGACAGAGGAGAAGAGATGGTGGCATGACCATTTTCCATGGGGGATGTTTTCTCTCACTTTCTCTTTCTCTCTGGGAGTGCACATTTCCTCTGGCAAAAAAAAAAAAAAAAAAAGGCAGTAATAGATGACATGTCCTCACACTAGACAACAGGACCTGGAGCACCTGCACATGGTTGTGTTGCCTGTCCCCCCACCCACTCCCTGCCGGAGTCGGTGGCCACATTATAGGCATTGCACATTTCTATTCGTGTTAGGACAAATCCCTGGCAGAAGCCACTGAAGCGTCTCAGTCCAACCAAAGCATTGTAGTGTGTAAATTTGCCAATGGATGGAAGGGAAGCATTCTGAGGAGGGATGCCTTTTCCTAGTATATGCCAAGGCACCAACTGCATGGGCTAGCAGAGCCAGGGGTGGTGGCCACCCTTTCAGTTGTTAAGGACCCCAAGTCTCCCTTCAGTCACTCTGTGCAGCAGACAGCCTGGAGCTGGGGCTCATGGCTCTTCTGGTGAACTGACTGACATTGACCCTGGTGGTGTGGCCTGTCACCTCCTGCCTATTCCTGCTTTGGTGCTGAGGGTAGTATGCTTGGTGCACGCAAAGGAACAGAGTTTGCCACAGTACTATGTAGACAGGCAATTTTTAAGAAGAATTATTGATTTAATTTTATTTATTATTATTATTATTAAATTTCAATTTGCAGCAGGGCACATGCACTCACCAGAGAGAGAGAGAGAGAGAGAGAGAGAGGGAGAGAGAAAGTGAGAAAGCAAGTTGGCAGGTCGTCAACCATGTGAGAGTTCAGTACCTTAACCACCCCTCCATCTGCCGGCCCCAACAGGCAGTTTTTTAAAGAATGAATTTGCAAAGTTGACTTAGGGGAGAAAGAATAAGTGATCTTCTTAGGTGCTACCTCAGACTCAGCTGGGGCTTGCTCTCAGGATGGCCGTCACCAGGCACAGCCAGGAACGATGTTCTAGTGACCTGAACTCCCTTCTGTTGACAATGGAACCTGAAGTATGGACTGTCACCCTTCGGAGCAGTGTCAGTTTCTCTACCTTATCAACACCTTTCAATTCAACGACTATTTATAGGCTGCCTGCTGGACTGCGCTTCCTGCCAGCACCTCTGACTGCTCACGGTTACACACGGGCCAGAGGACAGCAGCCCATTCACCTCCAGCAGCCTTGGCCGTGGGTGCACCGTGGTCTCCGGATGCTGCCATGCTGATTTACGTCTTGGGGGTCTTCTGGTGAAAGTGCCTCCTGGAGGTGCAGAAAAATCCCAGTGATTAGAGGGACTCTAGGAATCAGAATAAGATTTTTTCACAGACTCGAGAACACCCCTCTATCACATCCCCATGTCTTTGGTGTTCAGCTATGGAGGGGGTGATCCCATGCAGTTTGTGCAGACTGTGGAGACTGCGAGAAATGGGATGTGCTGTCTCCTTCAGAGCTAACTTCATTCCTATACACTTTTTTCTCTTTAAGGATGTCCTTTTTCTTTTTTTAAAAAGGCTTTTTTAAAAAAATTGTTTTGCCTTAGGGCACAGGCACTTGCTGGAGAGAGAGACAGAGACAGTGAGAGGGAGAGTAAGAAATCACCCCTCCCAGAGAGGATGGCCATGCCACAGTCCTGTCTCTTCCATCCTCCTCCTGGGATCTTGGGCATGCATATACATGCATGTGGTGTGTTTCAAGCCACTGGGTCTGGGACTCGAACCACTGTCAGCTATATGGGACCATTATGCCATCTGCTGGCCACAAGGATGCTCTTAGTAGTAATACCAACCAGATCTCATTCTCTATGTTCTACTATTGATATTAACTCCTATATTCCTTAGCACCACACCAATTTCACCCATTAGCTAATGTTGTTACTGCTGACCGAGAGGCGAGTTCTGCCTTCACCATATCCTGTAAGCTGCTTAAGATGCAGACTTTTGGACTCAAGACTATCGGTTCAGGTTTTAGCTCTATCGCTAACTAGCTTTGGGCAAGACAACTCACTTCGCTGTGCTTCAGTTTCCTCATCTGTAAAAAGGGTAATAATAGTACTATTAGCTCCCTCTGAGGGTTATAATCAGGACTAGATCACCCTAGAGAATACAAGCAGTGGCTAGAGTTCTGGATGCTTGTGAACTTAAATGGGAAAAATCAACTACATCTAGATTTGTCCGTTTTTTCAGATTTAAGGGATTGTTTAAGTCTGTTGTTAGAGCTTATTATTCAAGAGGTTAAAAAAAGAAATGTCCTTATTGTCATATTACTTTTTATTGTTTTGACAACTGCCCTGGTATGTATGTGTGTGTATTTTTATTTATTTATTTCTTTTTGCATATTCTAGTACTTACTGTCTTCCTGGAGCCTAGTAACCACAGTGCAGGAGTTTGCTATTGTCTGAGACCATTAGGCTGCTACAATGCTGATAGCCGCAAAGAAACCCACTATTTTTTCCCTTAGGTTTTTGTCATAAGGAGTGTGTGCTCCCCAGAGAGAGAGACAGTGAAGGCAGCGGCGAATCTGAGCTAAGCAGTGGTGACCTTCGAGGCTGGGGAAGGCACCGACCCAGTCTCTTGGGCCAGCTCTCTCGCACTGATGCTACACAGCCTGCGGAGGTTAAAGGAAACTACGATTCAGCCAGACAGGGCCAGGGGAGGTTTGTTTAGATGCTCCACAGCTGCAGTTGGTCATAGAAAACACCTGGCTTTACCTTCTGTGTCTCTCCCCCTTTGCCCCGTAAAAGAATAGACCTGGGAGCAGCTCAGTGCTGGGCGATCTCCATCAGACACCCAGTCTGCCCCATCCCCGCCTTTCGCCACTCGTGTGTCTGTCTGTGTTTTCCAAACACACTGTTGCTCCCACTCAAGGTGCCATCCCCTGCCTCTCAGGTCTCCACAAGACTGAGAGAGAGAAGGTGAGAAATCACCACCCAGGGGAGATGGCCATGCTGCAACCCCTTCTCCTCCATTCTCCTCTCGGAGTTTGGACACTTGTGGACATGTGTCCAATATGATTTTTAAGCTGCCTGGTCCAGGACTCAGACCATGTTTGGCCATGTGGGATCCAGTGCCTTAATCTTCATGCCACCTGCTGACATTTTAAAAAAGTGGAAATGGAGATTTGAGGTAGAAATCAAGAAGTTATTCCAAGTTAATGAAAACACACAATCAAACATCAGTTATTAAAAAAAAAAAAAAAAGATTTGGGACCCACCCTGAGTAAGTGCATGTAAAGCAGAACCAGCAGATGACGTAATAGTCACATCGCTGGACTCCCATGTTGTCAACCGCAGTTAAGTCCCAGACCTGACTGCTTAAAACCCACACCAGGTTTGTGTGTGTGTATGCCCACAATCCTGAGAGGAGAGTGGAGGAGAAGGGATTGTGGTGTGGCCAGTCCCCCTGGGGTGATTCTCGCTTTCTGTCTGTGTCTCCAGTGAGTGCATGTGCCCATCACAACAGTCTCTCTAACATAAAAAAAGGGCATATAAGGCAATGTGGACATGAACACCTTCCACCATTGATGAAGAATTGGGAACCTCAATAGTTCTTTCAAAATTTCCCCTAGAGAGGCTAATTGTAAGAGTCTTCTTTTTCACTATCATTGAAAAAGTAAAATAATTTTGGGGCCAGCTGGTGGTGTGATAGTTAAGGCACTGGACTCCCATGTGGCCAACCACAGTTTGAACACCGGCCTGGAGGCTTGAAAATCACACTGGGCATGTGTGCATGCATGCCCAAATTCCTGAGAGGAGAATGGAGGACAAGGGATTGTGGCATGACCATCCCCACTGGGAGGTGATTTCGCACCTTCTCTCTGTCTCTGTCCAGCAAGTGCACATGCCCTATGGCAAAATAAATAAACTAATTAAAAAATATTATTATGCTACTCTGAAATAGTCTCTTTTTTCCTCTCCTTACCAAATTTATTGTCCTAAAATAACATTTTACTTATAAGCTAAAACAATTTTTTCAGCAACTCCTATTGGTTTTAGGATCAGGTCTAAATTTCCCAGCCTGGCAATCTAAATCTTCCCCTGGCTCTTAAACCCTTCCTTACAGAAATGTTTTGTTCAGCTGGTGTCATTCTGTCCCTCCTCCTCCAGGTGTAGCTCACTGTCACCTCAAAGATTTCATTCAGGATGAGTACCTAAAGGCGCGTCCCCTCCAGGGTGCCCTCTTGGCCTGTTCAGTGTTTCTCTCCCTCAGCTCATTTCTCTTCCTTTGAGTCATGTTGCTCTCCACACTTTCCTTCTCTGGTGACACTCATTCCTTACCTAGAGACCTTCTATGTGTGACCGGGGCATATAGGAGTGAAGGGACTCCTTCCTGAGGCAACAGAGGGCCCTGGAAGAGCTGTCTGGATGGACGAAATACACATTTTCAGTAGGAAAATACTCTGCAGTTATGTCCTGAATTTGCTCCACTGCAGCCCAGCATAACTCATCATACAGCTAGCTCAGAACATACAGTCTCAATCTATGAGATAAGCAAGCACAGATTTCTTTCCTTTTTTCCCTTTTTAAAATATTTTTGCCTAAATCATCATATAGAGTGTGTGTGCTTGCTCAAGAGGGACTAAGAGAGACAAAGAGATGGCAACTGAGAAATCTCCCCCAAGGGAGATGGCCACGCCACAGTCCCTTCTTCTCCACTCTCCTTCCAGGATTTTGGGCACACACACATATGCATTGGTGTGTGTTTTTAAGCCAACGGGTCCAGGACTTGAACCATGGACTTGGCCACGTGGAATCCAGTGCCTTAACCACTACATCACCTGCTGGCCTGCAGGCAAATACTTTTCAAGGAAAAAATATTTTGGACATAGATTTCTAAGGTTTCATCATAGCACATTTAGAAATGGATTTCTTAATCAATAGGAGTCATAAAGTGCTTCTTAGACTATAATGTGTGAAAAGAACAAGGGCTGTAAATATCTAGAAGCACATTCACAGAATAACCCTATGACCTTCAGGCAGAACCCTGGCTTGGTGTGGTGAGCCATGCTGTGCTGTCACGGAGAGAAGGAAGAACGAGGACGATGGCAGCCTTGTCTGTTGGTATGTTGATGTGGTTGATGTGACATCTCCTCTAATGCCTGGAACACCCTGTGGGGTGGATGACTTCCCTCCTCCTCTATGGTTGAGGAAATCTCAATTTAAGGATCAATCTAAGAGTTTTTCATTTCGACCCAAGCTAAACAAAATAATGCTTACCCATGATTGTTGCAATGCCCATCTACCCTGTTGGGAGAATTATACACAATGAGGCATGAGAACAAGCTTGAGGTTGCCAAAACTAAACAGGTGACACGTGCTGAGCCAGCCTTGGTGTGGTGGCTAAGACTGCTGGGTATCACATGGCCAGCTACCTGGTTTGAGTCTTGTATCCGGTGGTTTCAGAAACACATGAAGTTTGTGCCCAAGTGTGTCCAGAATTCCTAGGGAGAGACAGAGGAGAAGAGATGGTGGCATGACCATTTTCCATGGGGGATGTTTTCTCTCACTTTCTCTTTCTCTCTGGGAGTGCACATTTCCTCTGGCAAAAAAAAAAAAAAAAAAAGGCAGTAATAGATGACATGTCCTCACACTAGACAACAGGACCTGGAGCACCTGCACATGGTTGTGTTGCCTGTCCCCCCACCCACTCCCTGCCGGAGTCGGTGGCCACATTATAGGCATTGCACATTTCTATTCGTGTTAGGACAAATCCCTGGCAGAAGCCACTGAAGCGTCTCAGTCCAACCAAAGCATTGTAGTGTGTAAATTTGCCAATGGATGGAAGGGAAGCATTCTGAGGAGGGATGCCTTTTCCTAGTATATGCCAAGGCACCAACTGCATGGGCTAGCAGAGCCAGGGGTGGTGGCCACCCTTTCAGTTGTTAAGGACCCCAAGTCTCCCTTCAGTCACTAACTACTGCCACACTGGCTCGCATGGGCTCATCTCCCGGTCACTGTATCAATATGGTAGAAAGTCCAAGATTTCTATATTATAACCAGTGATTCGGACTTCTGCTAATACAGCTTTTTAAAAAGTAAACTTTTTTTTTTTTTCTTTAGTTTGCTCTAGGGTGTGTGCACTTGCCTGAGAGAGAGAGAGAGAACATGAGAAAGTACTTTTAAGGGTGATCACCACACGACAATTCCTTCTCCTCCACTGTCCTCTCTGGGTCTTGAGTACACATGCACATGCACTCAATGTGTGTTTTAAGCCTCTGGGTCTGGGACTCAAACCATGCAGTCATCTATGTGGAATCCAGCCCCCTTAACCACCATGCCACCCAGTTGACCCAAAGGAATGGTAATTAGAACTGAGGAGAGTTGGCATGAGCAGTTGGGGGCTAAACAAATTTTTAGAGAAAATAATTCTTGTAATTTTCATACAATTTTGTAAAATTTTCTAATTAGTGCAGAAGCTTTGTTAGCATGTGGACGGGGCGAATGTGCAGGCCAAGGCTGCTCCTTTGTCTTGGAATATTCAGCCTGATTTTTTAGGACATTGACATCATCAGCCAAGCTTCTTCTTTGTAACAGCTTCTCCATATTCCAGGGCTCAGGGGATTTTTTTTTTTTTTTTTGGAGAGGTTTTTGCTATAGGGCGCATGTGCTCGCCAGACAGACAGACAGAGACATAGAGACAGAAAGCGAGAAATCACCCCCCCCAGGGGGGATGGCCACGCTGCAATCCCTTCTCCTCCATTCTCCTCTCAGGATCTTGGGCATGCACGCACATGAGTCCGGCGTGAGTTTAAGTCACCGAGTCCGGGACTTGAACTGCGGTCAACTACGTGGGAGTCCAGCAACGTAGCCATTGTACTATCTGCTGGTCCCTCAGGGGATCTTTCTTGCTCACTTTCTTCCTCCTTTGTAATCACAGTCACCTATGCCGAGGCCTAGGTGCTGCAGCTCTGGTTTGATCAGGGAACCCAGGGCATAGCTAATAGTTCAAGATACTGCCTCCTTCCCAGACTAAAGCGATGAGCTGTCCTCTTTGAGGAATTTGAAATGTGGAGCAGAAACACTCAAAGCTTGAGACATGATGGCACTGTCTTTAATGTACATGGTGCGGCTGGGGAAAGTTGCTTCTGAGCACCTTTCTCTGCTCAATTCTGGGTGTTCAGACCCTCCACGGATTCCCTAAGACACTTTAGTATCCTTTATATACATACTTATGTGCCATGGTTTACTTAAAGGTTTGTCCCCCAAGGTGCATGTGATGTGCTTTGCTCCCTAATGTGATGTCATTGGGAAGTGGCATTCTTTATTTTATTTTATTTTTTTTTTGAGAGAGAGACTTTTGCTATAGGGCATTTGCACTCATTGGAGAGATAGAGACAGAGAGACAGAAAGCGAGAAATCATCCCCCAGAGGGATAGCCATGCTGCAATCCCATCTCCTCCAATCTCTTCTCAGGATTTTGGGCATGCACGCACACGCCTGGTGTGTTTTATGCTGTCGGGTCTGGGATTTGAACAGCAGTTGATATGTGGGAGTCCAGCAACGTAACTATTACATCATCTGCTGGTCCCAGAGGTGGCATTCTTTAAAGAGAAAAACCTACCTTCAAGGTGGGTGGGCCCCTTGCTATTCAAGACTGGCATGTGGATCAGTGGAGTGAGAGAAGAAAACTGTCTTTCAATGTGGTGGGCTCCACCCAACTGGCTGGGAGTGTGGGCAGGACAAACAGGGGAAGTGGAAAAGTCTGTTTCATTTTTCTCTCTCTCTGTCTCTCTCTGCAGGTGGCTGCTGACCTGCCTGCCTCTCTTGGCCTCATTGTGACTCACAACCAGAGGCCAGGCTCATGCCCTTGGATTTTCAGTCACCAGAATTGTGAGTCAGATAAACCCCCATTCCTGTAAATCACCCAGTGTCAGGTACTTTTTTTAACAAGGATGGGCTAAGAGAACACGTTTATGTACACACACATCATCCTTTTGTTTCGTGTTTTGTTTTTGCTATAGGGTGTTCGCACTCATGACAGTGAGAGCAAGAGCAAGAGTGAGAGCGAGCGAGAGAGAGAGAAGTGAGAAATCGCCCCTAGGGGTGATGGTCACACTGCAGTCCCTTTTCCTCTAATTTTCTGTCAGGATTTTGGGCACACACCAAGCTGCTGGGTCCAGGACTAGAACCACACACTCAGCCATATGAGATCCAGCTGTCTCAACCACCACACCATGGACTGGTCCCTCGTTCCATATCTTCCAACAACAACAATAATAATAAACAAGAAGTCCTCACAATGATCTGGGTCCGAAGATTTAATCTCAACTACATAAAATGGCCAGGCAAGAGCAGTGGGGGAGTGGGCCAGGCCAGGCCTGTCCATAGCACAGGGGCATAGTTCTCTGCTCCTGGTAATTGCTGACATGTGGCGATGTAGTTCAGTTTGTCACTTCTTTCCTTCCTTCCTTCCTTCCTTCCTTCCTTCCTTCCTTCCTTCCTTCCTTCCTTTCTTTCTTTCTCTCTTTCTTTCTGTCTTTTTTAAGAAATTGGGGGACCAGCAGTTAACGTAATGGCTGTGTCGCTGGATTCCCATGTAGTCAACTGCAGTTCGAGTACCGGACCCAGTGGCTTAAACTCACTCCGGGCATGTGTGCATGCCCCAGATCCCGAGAGGAGAATGGAGGAGAAGAGATTGTGGCATGGCCATCCCCTCTGTAGCGTAACTTCTTGCTTTCTGTCTCTGTCTTTCTGGCAAGCGCACATGCCCTATAGCAAAAACCTCTTCAAAGATAGAAAAAAAAATGGTAAGTTGGACTTCTCCATGAAATCTCCTGAGTTTGAAATGTTGACAACTAACTCAAATCGTGCCAAGCTTTATGCTCACCTAACATGACTCTAAATTGTGATTTCTTGGGTTGATAACCACTGCATATGCAATTAAACAGCCTCAGAAAAATAAGATGTTCAAGGCCACCCCACCAGCTTTTTAAGAAAGTTTATGTAACTTTATTAATAATTACTATTTTAATTTGCTATAGGACTCACATAGAGAGGGCAAGTGAGAAAGTAAGCCACCAGGTCCAGGGCTCAAACTGTGGTCAGCCACATGGGAGTCCCATGCCTTGACTACCATTCTACCTGCCAGCCCCACCAACCTCAGTGTCTGAACTGGGACAGTCATTCACAGCTCTGGCCTTACACACAAAAGAATCCTTGGAGACTCTTCTGAGTGGTTAGCGTTCTCCTTCCCTTCCCTTCCCTTCCCTTCCCTTCCCTTCCCTTCCCTTCCCTTCCCTTCCCTTCCCTTCCCTTCCCTTCCCTTCCCTTCCCTTCCCTTCCCTTCCCTTCCCTTCCCTTCCCTTCCCTTCCCTTCCCTTCCCTTCCCTTCCCTTCCCTTCCCTTCCCTTCCCTTCCCTTCCCTTCCCTTCCCTTCCCTTCCCTTCCCTTCCCTTCCCTTCCCTTCCCTTCCCTTCCCTTCCCTTCCCTTCCCTTCCCTTCCCTTCCCTTCCCTTCCCTTCCCTTCCCTTCCCTTCCCTTCCCTTCCCTTCCCTTCCCTTCCCTTCCCTTCCCTTCCCTTTCTTTCCTTTCCTTTTCTTTTCTTTTCTTTCTTTCTTTCTTTCTTCTTCTTTTTGCTATAGGGTGAATGTATTCACCACAGACAGACAGAGAGAGGGAGAGAGGGAGGGAGGAAAAGTGAGAAATTCCTCCTCAGGGAGCATGGCTACGCACAATCCTTCCTCCTCCATTCTCTCAGGGTTTGGGACATGCATGCGCATGTGCCTTGTGGAATTTTCAAGCTACCAGGTCTGGGGCTTGAACTGCGCTTCAGCCACATGGTATCTAGCCACCTTAACCCCCTGCTGGCCTCAGTCTGTTGGCTTTTTCAGAATCATTTGGACTTGCTTCCAGACTCACTGACGTCAGTGGGCACACATGGAAGCCAGGCCTCCTGCAATCCCACCTCTTCCATCAAACCTACTCCCAGTAAAAGGAACATCAATCCCCCCTCCACATCCTGCTAGAGTCCACAGTTCTGCTTGTACAGTCCTGGTATACTGGACACGCACAGGGGCCTGAGCAAATGCCAGTATTGGTGACGACAATTATAAATGCACAAATCAGAATTCTGTGAAGTAGAGGCTATGAATTTGCCTTAAATAAGTTTGTCTATCCCCCCAACCCAGTGCTCACCATAATAACTGGCACATAGTAGGTGCTTAGTAAATGTTTGCTGACTGAATGGTCATCATTAAAGACATGTAAAATGAAATATCAACACATAGTAATATTGATGGAAACTAGACAAATCTAATCTCATGGAAGGAAAAATATTTGGCATTTGCTAACAAGGAATCCTCCTAAACAGCACAGAAGCTCTTAGTTTATATTAGTTTAAAAAATTATTATTTGATGGGGGGGTCAGCAGATGGCTTGGTGGTTGAGGTGCTGGATTCCCACATGGCCAGCCATGGTATGAGTCCCAGACCCAGTGGTTTGCTTTCTCACTCTCCCCACCTCTCTCCCTCTCTGGTGAGCACATGTGTCCCATAGCAAATTAAATAATAATCATAATAGATAAAATAATTTTGAAAAACCTTATTATTTGGTTGTTTATAAAGCATAATTAGAACCTTAAATCATTCTCTGTAGGGACATTAACTTCTTTAGTTAGTTCTTCAGCTGTGCAGAGTGTATGTTCCATTCTTAAGTTTGTTACTATTTATTATAGCATGTCTCCATATACCCTTGTGCTTACATGGTTGCTATACTTTTTAATCTTAAAATGTAAGCTCATGTGTATCAGAGACTTATTTATTAAGTTTCTTTATTTCCTGCTCACAAAGAGAACTTTTTCGATAAAGAAAATAGTTATGAGAAAGCTACGAATTAAGAAAATAGAAGCAATTAGCAAACGTCCCCTCTTCTAATTAATACATCTGTGCGGAAGCGCTGTTGGATCTCGGAAGCGCCCTCACACCGCCCCTGCTGCGGCTGTTCCGGCTGTGTGTTTTGCTGTAGCTCGTCCTCATGCATTTCCTTTTATTTCCCAGTGTCAGAGGGTGTGCGTGCAGGCCAGAGAGCGGGAGGAGGAGAGCGAGCCAGCACCCCGCCCAGACCTGGTCCAGCCGAAATCCTTTCACCTCTAACTCCATCCCGTCACGACCCTGGGCACGTGCACAAGCCCTGCCCTGCTTGTTTTTCAAGCTGTCAGGTCCCAGACTTGAACCTTGGTTGCTCATGTAGGGTCCAGCTTCCTCTGTGCAGTTAAGGCTGGCCCCCGTCCACGTTGTCTAATGCTCTTGGTGGAACAAGGCGTTCCCCAGTTCTCAGGTGGTGAGATAAGAACGCTACTGCTTTCCAGGTCAGCACAAATTAATTAATGATGCTGTGGTTTCTGGGGGAACAGAGGCCGTGCGGGAGTGACTAGGCTGCCATGCTCCCATGGGAGCTCCACGTGGTAACATGAGGATGGCTGAGTAATTAAATACAAACCCCGAGGAGCTCACGCCACTATTTTTCTTAATTTTTCTATCAATGCTCTTCTTTCTGAATATAAAATGCTTGTTTTCGTCATCTGTGTTACAAAGTAGAGAGGCTAAAAAGTGCCAAGACTGAAGTTTCGGTCCTGTGGATCAGCACTCTCTGTTTATATCAGTCCAAGAAGATTTTTCTTACAAATGTATTTGAAGAATTATTTCCTTATTCCAATTCAAACAGTGTAGACATGAAGAGTGTTTTCAAAGTACTCCAAACCACTTCGAGTTTATAGTTTTCCAGATATGGGCAAGTGGAGAGTCATATGGGTGGAGAGTCATCTGGTTTCCCATGAGAATCTAAATGTTTCGTGTATGTGTGTGCGTACATATTCAACATGTACACATTTCAGCCAGTGGGACATATATATGCAGGGTGCACCCTGAGTAAGTAGTCAGAGACTAAGCACAAACAGGCCGGGCTCCTCAGGTGAGCAGATCGTGCTTTCAGCAATTGGTGGCATCTTTCATGTGTTTGTCACCCGAGAAGTCTGTAACTATGTTACTACAACACGACTGGGGACGTAAATGGGGGCCCGCATGTGTCAGTGCAGAGGTAGTCACAGGGTCACTAGGAGTCCACCTCTAGACACCCCCATAGAATGCCATCATGCCTCACCTCTACTCCTCAGAATTACAGGTGGATCCTGGTTCGTATGCAGAAGCCTGAGTAGATGCTGATTGCAAACTGTATGAAAAGCCGTTTTTTGGGGAACCAGTGGGTGGCATACTGGTTACATCCCTAGAGTGGCATGTAGTCAGTGGTGGTTCAAGTCCTGGACCTGGTGGCTTAAAACTCACACTGGGTGCATGTATGTGCAAAGCCGAAATCCCAAGAGGAGAATGGAAGAGAAGGGATTGCAGTGTGATCATCCCCCTTGGGTGGTGATTTCTCGCTGTCTCTCCAGAAAGCACATGCACCCTATAAAAATAATCTCTCTTAAACAAATAAACTTTTTTTTAATTATAAGCTACATGTATTTACTTATTTATTTACTGCCAGAGGGCAGGTGTGGTGACCAGAGAGGGAGAGAAAACACCCCCCATCGAGTGGGGTCACATCACAATTTTTCCCTCCATTTCTCTATCCTGTTAGGATTTGCAGCACCTGCACGGGTGCTCAGTGTGTTTTTCAAGCCACTGGGGTTGGGATTTGAACTGCGGTCAGCCATGTGGGCTCAGGCTCCCAGCGCACAGCTCTTCACTGCTGTGCTGCAGGGCCGACTTAGAGCTGCCGAAGAGAGAAAAATGGTTGGAATGAAGGACAGTCACTGCTAATGGTTTAGATGAATGTTTCATGCACAATTGGTGCATCAAAACTGTCCCATTTAAAAAATTAACTCTAGGGGCCAGCAGGTGGCATAGTGGTTAACGTGTTGGTCCCACATGACCAGCTGAAGTTCAAGTCCCAGACGTGGTGGCTTGAAACTCCTGCTGTGTGTGTGTGTGCGTGTGCCTATCCAAAATCCAGAGAGGAGAATGGAGGAGAGGGACTGTAGTGTGGTCATACCCCCAGTGGGTGATTTCTCACTTTCTCTCTCACTGTCTCTCTTCATCTCTTTCCAGTGAACACACACACCTTATGCCAAAAACCTTTTTTAAAAATATTTTTTTTTAGAGGGAGATTTTTTTATATCGGGCAT